TGTATCATCAGCCCGTCTTTATATATATAAAACGGAATATGGAATATGATATTCAAAACATGACATTTTTCATCTGAGTGAATTTATAAATGTAGAAATCACAAAGAAACTTGCCGGAAAATTGTTAATTTTTCGTAAATACTGATAATAATTTTCTCAAATATATTATCTACATTCAAAATTACTTCTTATAGATGGTAGTGCCATGATTACGTTGATCTTTGGCTTCGAATTATGACCAAAGTTTAGTCGATATGGAACTATTTACTTCTTTGAAAGTTTAAGACAAATTGCTGCAAAGTCAATCCGCCTAACTTTTTAAAGCTTATCTACCTTGGTCTGAAAGAAGTCATTTCCTTGTTGCCAATGAGACTAAGTTTAGCATTTCTTAAATTTATTGACCGGTCTGATTAAAACAATTTGATTTGACTAAGTACAATATCATACCATTTTTTTCTTTTGTAAATAGTAAAAAAACGCATTCAATAGTTATATGATAAGTCATACAGAAAATTATATCATGGTTATTTGTAAAATATAAAGCCTTAATTAAGTCAAATTTAACGCATGTTATGTTTTATTGAAGAATAATTTGAATTATGGTGACTCGAAAGCGACTTTATTGAATTGAGTTGTTTAATAAAGCATATGATAATAGTTTATGACACCTTATGTAGTTACATAAGTCTTTGATTTTGTTGACATTTTTTAATCACCGTGCATAACAGACTTTTATCTTTGCTACTAAATATCTTGACGTTTTGACCTTTACTGTAATAAATATTTTTTTATTAATTCATTATTATTAGATGTAATAACGTGTTAATAATTTATGGTTTATTATAAAGATTAGAAAACTGTAAAGAGACTAGTTTTTAAATATATTTTAAAGTATGATTCTCCCGAAAATTTAAAATATAAGAAAGTGAATATATCAAAATAGTCGGTGACATTCTTATACAAAGTGAGAAACCAGTTTTGGTGCATTTTTGCCTCAGTCACATATTAAAAACAAGAATGAAAATAATTGACAACTGATGCTAAGATATGGCAGAATTGAAACTTTTAGCGATTTTAGTAACCTACTAGCCCATATGGACAACTATTTCAGCTTTATTTTTTACAATTATGGTGGCTAGACTTGTATTGATTAGATTCTAACGCTTGGACTTGGATAAAATAGCCATGAGACATTATCATCTGAAATCACTTGGCAAATATAGGATTGCGCTTTGTATAATGATATAAGGTAAATGAAGTTTAAGACGTCCCTTTTTTATAAGGCGGAATATTTTGACTTTTGAAGTTATACGAGAATAATCTCTGAATATTAACTTATTCACTTTCAATCAGAAGACTGAAATCAACCCACGTTTTGTCTACCAGGTGTCCAGATTACTTTCAAAATATCATATCATTTGCAACATCTGCAGATCTACATCTGTAATGGCGTAGTATGATATGATGATGATGAATATAATACTAATATCACTTAGCCTACTTATCTACATACACCTTTATCATTTGATTCAAATTGCGCATTGAAACAACCAAAGTAACATTCAGACTCATCTGATCATGTGAACGAAGTTGCAATTGAATTTCAGACTGTTGTATGTTTTGAAGTAGAAATAAGTTCTTCAATTTTGCAAACCAGACAACAGACGTAAACCAACATTTGCCTGGATTTTGAATTTCATTAAATCAGATAGCGAAGTAGTAATAAAACAGAATACTTTAATCGTTTGATATACTATTTTTTGCTTACAAATGAGTTAATATTTGTAATTAAATTATCACTAGCAGTCCATTAGATATGATATAATATAAAGCAGTATTTCATCTCAATATTATCATGTTTGATAAATATGATTTAATGTCAATATACAGAGACCGATACAATATCATATTAGTGAAATAATGTAGTCATCAAAATTACGCTTTAATTGCTTTTAAAACTGCCTTCAATGCTACTTCTAGCTACTCCTAGCTAGAATATCGATTATTAATTGGCCGACTGTTGACTTGGAAGCGACAAGTTAACATAGAAAATGTGTCCGATAGTTTACTGAAAGGGGTAAATCTTTGATTTTCCTGTTGACACATTAACGTTGTTGGCCTTTGATACAATAGTACCTTTATTAATGTGAGATGGGAGACTCTATTTTGCCGGATTGTCATTCAATTGTCAATATAGATTGTATTTTATTTCCAATGTCTAAATCAGTTAATATTGTTCTTTATCTCATACCTTCCATATCATTTAAATACTAGCTATAGTGTTTAAACATTATCAGCAAGCCAAACATTTTAATGGAGAACGTCACAGACTCCACATATCAATGTTTCTATTATTCCTCTTATTCAAATATATTGCCAATAGATTCGACCTGTTAAATGGAATTTCACAATAAAATATTCATTGTTAACTTCCAAATCGGAAGCTAGAAGTTTTGTTTTACTACCTGTCTCATTTTTCTAGCTTCAAAAATCTTAATCCAATCCAAAATTTATTTTGATATCACTTAAATATGGGTTTCCTTATTTTCATTTATGAACATGAAACAGTTTGTCTCACATGTCCATAATTAATTCATAATTAGCTAAATTAGAAGAGAATTAACAGCAGAATTCCAATGAGTGACCAATCAAGAAAGGTCAAAAATCTTTGTTTGTTTATCCAGACTGTACATACATGGACATTTATGATTGGTTAAAACTTATATGCAATAAGAACATAATGATATGTTTAAGAATACATGATAATTCATTAGAAACACCAATTAATCAAATAATTTGCTAAAAAAAATAAAGAAACCCATCTTTAAGAACAATGTTTTGCGTAACCCACCAAAAGATTTGCCACTTTTAAACTTTCGTATGGAAAAAGCCTAAAAAATGGCACATCATTGCCCCCTTTCAGATTGGACACTAAATTTACACAAACGTTGGCTTGTCACGTGTATGGCATATCATTTGCTTTACTTGTGTTTAAAATATTCAGTTTAATTTCTACTCGTGACAAAAATATCGTGGATCCAGTATGACATTTACGGAATTTTAGTCGTTTGGAATTCAAACTTTGAGGAAAAAGTCGCATACTATATATGCTGAAGAAACTGCATGTAATTATGTCAATATCAAAAACATATACCCGAAAAGTTTCTCCTTTAGCCGATTAAATATTTCGGTATATGGGCCATAATGGGGATGAATAAGACAAAATATAATTGTCACTTATCGAGTAGATATATTATATATACCGATGATTATCCGCTAGTTTAGAATATAATTCCTACCCTTATTTACAATTTACTCAAAATTTCGTCCTATTCTTCATCTGGAAAATAAGCCCATATTATGAGCCTTTGACAAACCGCATGCCTAATTAGAGATCATGGCGTATTATATAAATGTTCAAATAAACTACCATTGTGATGTTAATAGACCATCTTTTATCACAAACTCCTCATCATCAATTATTGGATGGTTCATTAGATAATGAGTTTAAAAGCTGCTCGTTAGAGAGAATTAACATGCCTTCTTTACAAACTACAATGCTATAAACTTTGAATATAATATGTAGGTCTACAAAATACCTATTAATCCGATTTAAGATTTTACTCTGCTGAAGGTATGTGGTTCTCGCATCGCTTATCTATATCTCTCTTATCTATAAATTCAGAATCTTCTATAGCCCCTTTAAAGGAATAGATATGGAGATAAGCGATCGGTAATTTTTACTTTATCGATCAGAGTTAGTATATCTAACTACATAATAACAAATAGTCCATTATAGTTGTAACATTTTTAATATTTGTTCACTGTAGTTTCTAATAATATATACTTTTATTTACAACCAAAGAATATTGGTTGATATGCCATGCAAACTATTCTATAATAATGTATATTGTGTATTATACCATTTAATTATATTATTATATATTTTATGTCACAGGTAGAATATTGGTTTATATACCATGTAAACTATATAATAATATTGTATATATTACAGGTATAATATTAATATTAGTTGATATACCATGTACATTTATAACAATATATTGGGCATTGCAGGTGAAATATTGGTTGATATATCATAATATATTATATATTGCAAATAGATTTTGGTTGATAAACCATGTAAACTATATTATAAAGTAATATATTTAACACGTAGAATATTGGTTGATAAACCATGTAAACTTTATGATAATATATTATATATTACAGGTAGAATATTGGTTGATATACCATGTAAACTATATAATAATATATATTGTTATATTACAAGTAGAATATTGGTTGTTATACCATGTAAACTATATTATAATGTTTTGTATATTACAAGTAGAATATTGGTTGATAAACCAAGTAAACTATATAATAATATATTGTATATTACATGTATAATATTTGTTGTTATACCATGTAAACTATATTATAATGTTTTATATTTTACAGGTAGAATACTGGTTGATATACCATGTAAACTATATAATTATATAACAATATAACACCATGTAAACTATATAATTAGTTTTGTGTATTACATGTACAATATTGGTTGATATACCATGTAAAGTATATAATAATATATTGTATATTACAGGCAGTTTTTTGGTTGATATACCATGTAAACTATATTATAATATATTCTATATCACTAGTAGAATGTTGATTGACATCAAACTATATAATAAAATATTATATTTTACAGGTAGAATATTGGTTGATAAACCATGTAAACTATATAATGATATAAATGATATATTGTTATATTACAAGTAGAATATTGGTTGATAAACCATGTAAACTTTATAATAATATATTATATATTACATGTATAATATTTGTTGATATACCATGTAAAGTATATTATGATGTTTTGTATATTACAGGTAGAATATTGGTTGATATACCATGTAAACTGTATAATTATATAACTATATAACACCATGTAAACTATATAATCATTTTTGTATATTACAGGTAGAATATTGGTTGATATACCATGTAAAGTATGTCAAGATCATTCTTCGGGTAAACATTATGGCATTTATGCTTGTGATGGGTAAGTCAGTATTTTACATACAATTACAAAATATTCTTTTCAACATATTTTAACAACTAACATCCATTCTATTTCTTCTAAGGTATTTATTATTGTGACGTCTCCACCATAGACATACAGTAGTAATAATGTGTTGACACTTTACTATATAATTAACTTCTATAAGGCATGTATTCATACATAGTAAACTGGTATAATATCATCAATTCATAATACCAGTCATATGTAGTCTTTAATTGACTCTCTATTTACAAGCTACACCTGAGTAAATGTCTATATGTAAGGACTCATATTTAGAATTATATGTTAGCTTCAATAATTCGATGATTCGACACTTGTACAAGTGGTTAGCATTGTACCCCTTTTCTCTCTTCAACGTCACTGTTGCAAACAAAAAATACAGTTAAGAGTCACCCACGATGTTGGTTTAAAAAGACGTTTTCAATGCATTTACTAATTCTATTTAAATAAAGTTTGAACAAGGAAGGGTCGTAGTGAATAGTCGACGATTTCAAGTGATAAAAATAACACGTTGCCTTATTTTCCTTTTTAGTGTCACCTTCTTCTTGAATACAACTGACTTCTTTCACGTTTGTCGAGTATTTTTTAAAAGTTTAGATTCTACTTCATTGTAAAGTGCAGTCTGAATGTCTTCCTTCTGTTTCATAAACTGACTGAAGTAGACTCGAGGAATTTAATGGAATTAACTACATCTTGTTATATAGTTCTTATCATTTGTAAAAGAGCGATGAAGATTATGTATCCACCCACTGTAACTACTATTTAATACTACGATAAGAGGACAGTTACATTCTCAATGTGACAGATAGTTAAATACTTCTTCTATTTCCCCTATAGCTGTTTCATGTTGTTGAATAATTTAATTATGATTAATTCAACTTATCTATTTATTTGCTTCTCTTTCAGTTGTGCCGGGTTTTTCAAGGTAAGTCTGTCATTAATTGTATATTCACTGATCACACCACCCGCTACGATTCAATAGAAAATTAACTTGTTGAGTTTCTATATACTGATTATAGAGTGACCAATAACTACCTGTGATCAATCCACCCATCTCAACAGTATTCTCTCCAGGTTGCCTTTAATCATCGTATTTCGCTTATTTTCAACCATGTTAAAAGTTTGTAATGCAAGTGTAGAAGAATGCTAGAGTAAACACTCCCCCTTGTCTCACCCCATTCTTTACCTTTGCTTCACATTGCCAACTTTTCCGGCTGGTTTCATCTATTAAATCTCTGTTTACTAGAACAAAAGTCTCGCGATTAGGAAGTTTAACATTTTCTTTCACAAACCCACCCGCAATCGTCGAAAAATGTAACATCAAAGAAAGTGTTCATGGCCCAAGTAGTTGTAAAATAAGCAGCCTGTATTTAGTTTATGTGTTAGTCGACATAGGGGCTGGCAAGAGCTTCTCAACTATCTTAAACTCGCAGAATTAAACTTAAAGCTAAAAACTTAACACAAACGTTGTTACTGATGAACGCTAGGAAAGCGAAAGGTAGAAGACCAAAGCAAACAGTTTTAATACCCCAAGGGCACGTTGTCTTGCAAATCTTCACAAAAAGACACATTTTATAGATTTTCTATGCGAGACTCAAGTGGTACACGCAGAAGTCAGGTTTGCATTGAGCTTTGTTGTTACCTGCAAAATGGAAACAAAGATTTAAGTTGAGAATATTAAGATACGAGCGAGTGTATAGAACTGCGTGAACGACCTTTCAATTTTCATTTACAATATATCATTTAAATGTCCTTAAAATTCAGTTCCTATAAGTTGTATCTGGAAGAGGCGTAATTATATTCGGATAGTTGGAAGTCAAGGCACATGGTATAATTATATGTAGGCTTCGATCAAAAGAACAATAGCTATTATAGTAAATTAAGAGCTTTACTATAAAGTTATTCTTATTTGGCATTTTTTTAAAAGAAAAACTGTTAAAATAAAAACTATTTTATATCTTTCAGCGTTCTATCAGAAAGAGTCGACACTATATTTGTAAATCCCGTGGACAGGGGACATGTCCTGTAGACAAAACACATAGAAATCAGTGTCGTGCTTGTCGATTAAAGAAATGTGAAGAAGCCGGTATGAATAAAGATGGTAAGTGTGATCTATTTTGTTTCCAAATTCTTTAAAATTTACCAAATCCAATGTGCAAATATGTTAAATCAATATACATGCACACTTAAAGTGGCATTGTATACCGATTTCAATTGAAATATTAATATCTTAGTCTCAAAGCTGAGTTGAAACTAAGTGTTATGTTTCAATGTAATGGAAAATCGAACTATTTTTACAAAACTTCTAAACAAATGAAGTTCATTAAAAAGGATTATATTCTCTATTGACATTAATAAAAGATATTAACCAAAATTAAAGAATTTGTGAAAAAAGGAGAAAAAAAAGAAGCAATTTTCATTATTTGGAAGAATATTTCAACTTTAAAGTCCACAATGTGTAATATGTAATGAATACAACCAATAAACAAATCATAACAGAAATGTGAAAGTGGAAATAATAGTAATACCGTTTTAGAGGTTATTAATGCACTGATAATGCCCTTTCTTATTAATACAAAACAATGTTTATTGAAGACCATACTTCACATGGAATATTGTTCCAATTAAAAATCCTGAGAAATCAAATTGAAATATGTTGAATGTGACCGAAATTAAAGGCGTTTTCATCTCATTGAAATGCAAGAAATACAACAACGGGCATGAAAAATCGGAGCGTGACTTTTAGTTAAAACGATTTAGCTACAGTAGCAAAGTTTAATGAGCTCTTAAATTTGATGAGGGCGAATGAAATCTGCCTTTGTCGACATTTTGAATGAAATCTAAGCAGGAATAGCACTTTAACACGTCTGTACGTGTACATCTAATTGACTTGAGTTAATCGTTAAGGGAGAAAATACAAATAAAGAGCAAAAGACCAAACAAGACGATAGGAGAAATAGAATAAGTTGGCTGTAACTGGAGCTGAATTACGTCCTGCTCTCTGATTAGTCAATTACCGTTTCTATTGAAAATTACAAACTGTAAGACGACCATATTGCTCACTCATCACGTTGCTTTACTTGTTAAAATGTAGTTAAGCGGTTCTGGTTGACACATTATTGTTACAGATTGTAAATGAATATTTTCATTGTGCTACAGTTAACTATAATAGGAATATAATGAGTCAGATAGAACTGTCAATTAATACGCCCTAAATTAATATTTATTGTTAACTTCACGCCAAAATATATCAATATTTTACAAACATAATTCTTTTCAAATCATCACGACTTTGTCATTTAGAAATTCCTCGTTGTCTCAAAATAATTTTACCATTGAAAGTGTAAATTGTTAATACACTATAGTATTTAGAACGGGATGTTTGTTTTTCGAATGTAAAGTGTATCAGCTCATTTTAATTGTAGACTTATGTAAATAAAAAAAGTTGAAAAGTTTCTTATGAAATATGAATGCAATTATTCGTGAATATGATGAGGCATAATTTTGGGACTACCCCCGGGCGGGACCAGGAAGGTAATGCTATTCACAAATTCAAGATGATTTTTGTGTAAAGTATGTGATCCGAAATAGCTCTTTGTTAAGTCTATCATTCCTCGCTTCACCTGCGTAAATAGTTCACACAATAGAAGCGCTAACTCAGTCTCACTCAATTTGAAAATTGTGAAGAAAAGTACACAAAATTTGCAATGCTTTCTCAATTCTGTTCGTGCTTGGTAAAAATACATGGTGTCGCATTGAGATCGGACGCACAGGACTTTTGTTATGGGTTCTATTCAAAAGTTAGAGTTTCTTTTCTGTAGTTGAGTCAATATTGGTGACCTTCTAGGTATAATGTTTAACCAAAGGTATTATTGAAGAGAAAGGGACCCCTTCTAAAAACATTCAGCAACAAGAGAACACTTTTCATTTTGCCTAAACATGAGCTGATATGTGATTTGTTTGAAATCTATGTAAGTTGGCACTTTACTGAGGGTTTTTGACACGTGAATGGAGAAAGGGTGGTAACAGTCTACCTATTGCAAAGACAAACACACTTGACGTAGATGCCTTTTTCTCATAACAAATCTTTTAGATTTCTGGCTTTACTTGTGACTAAATTGACTTGGCTTTTTTGAAATAGGATTGTGTCGATAAGATAGGGCCACACAGACGTTGATTGTTCTGAACAAGTTCACATGGTACGATAAGTAAAGAAGCTGTATTAATTATTATTTATTATAATACTACTTGAAAATGCCTGGAATCCACTTGATTTTTCATTCACTCTTCATCAAAAAGACGTCCTAGGTGATGCTAGAAGAAAACAACAACTGAATCTTTTTCACGCCAATGTTTTAAATTCATCTTTTGCTTTTTTAAATTCTTAAAATTATGAGATAAACTGACCAATGTACAACAATGCGATCAAATTACATTGGTAGACAATTACAGTGGATACGCCTTTAACCGGTTGCAAATACAGTGTACTTTTGATAAGTTACCTCGAACTTTTCTTAAAAGCTCGGCAAATAAAATCATGAACCCGTTTAATAATATCTTAAATCTACATTAAATTGTGTCATATCTGTTATGAGTTTCTTGCACAATGTTAATTTGCACCACACACTGTCATTTGTCTATATTATTATTTCAGCTGTACAACATGAACGAGGCCCACGAAATTCAACCATTAGAAGACAGGTTGCTATGTATTTAAAAGAAACGAGCGAAATGGGTGGATTGATAGCGTCTCATCCTTTTAGAAATCCTCTATTACCACCAGGTTTTGTTGGTTATGATCAACCTATCAATGATGGTATCACAGTGTCAGCTATAGACCATCAACCTCCTATCTCCCCTTCTAGCATCATGCAGCCTGTGCCTAGGGTAAGGAACATAGAGTATTCAAAATCCGAAACATTAACATCGCTGTGCATATCTATCAGTGCCTCAAAAACGTCCATTTCGAGTAAATAGACACAGCATGATCCTTCAATATTTCAAAATCTGGGATACAATTGATTTCTTAAAATTGTTTCAAAATGGACCACTGCAGATACAGAAATTTTAAAGTTTCGGAAAATGTTTTAATGATCGTTAAGTTAAAATAGATATCAATTTTATTCAATTTGCCAAATAAAGTTGAATTTAGCTTGGAAAGAAGTTAAATATTTTTGTTTATTGTTTTTTTTTAGTATCCTCATGAGATGATGCAAGCTTATCTGAATAATCCGGAAACTATTTGTGAAGCGGCTGCCAGGTTGCTTTTTATGAGTGTTAAATGGGCGAAAACAGTGCCAGCTTTTCTAAGTCTTCCTTTCCGAGATCAAGTGATATTAGTTGAAGAGGCATGGAGAGAATTGTTTGTTTTGGGTGCCGCCCAATTTCAGATACCTCTTGAAGCCGGTCCGCTTTTAACTTCAGCGGGTGAGTACATAGTTTTATATATCGAGTGACATTAGAAATGTCTCTCAAGTAACTTTTGACTTTATATTTAACATTTTCCTCGCTTTTGGTGTTGAAAATAATAAGTTGACGTTAAGCATACCTAAGTTACTATAAACAGAGTTAAATTTCTATTTAACATTTCTAACTTTGATAGAGTTAAAATTATATCAACTAATTAACCTAGAATGTATAGAACAACGTGCAGTTTCCTGTTCTGCCAGTCATTTAAATTTCCATATATCTAAATGTTGTCGTGTTTATTTGGCAACCGCGCCTCTCCTTCTAATATATTTCTCGGCAATGACGAAATAGATACAATTGCTCATAGATATGGCTCATTTAAGAAAGGTAACAATGTCGATTTTTCGACCAGTGGATCTTTATCTGAATGTTGACAAGCTGGAAACAAAAGCAACTTACTATAAATATATATATAAAAAAAAAAAATTATTGACTCTTTCAGTCAATAGTCGAAATAATTTTTTTTTTTTTATGAAAATTGAGAATTAGCCTCGAATGAGTCTTAGATTGGTCTTCAGTTGATACCAGGACTGCTTTGAAGCTGATATTCGAAATCACTAAAAAAAAATCGGTAAAATTCGATTTACAGACAAGATTACGAAGACATTGTGAAAAGTAAATTGAAACATTTATGTTATACTATAAATTGTTATTGAAGGTATAAGTACAGAACAGTCACCACCAGAGAAAGTTGTTAGCATTATGACAGAAATCAGGGCATTACAAGAGGTTATCACCAAGTTTAAGGCTATACAAGTCGATCCTACAGAATATGCTTGTCTCAAAGGCATTGTGTTATTTAAAACAGGTACTTATTTCATTTGAGTTTAAGAATAGATCGAATAGTCTAATAAATGTAGAGCCATTTAACTCGAAATGATACACTTTACAGTTGCCCACAGAGTGCACAAAAAGGGTGCATAACACGAAAAAAAGGTTCATGGGCGCATTTATAAAAGGAGACATTCCCAAAGAATTGCTGACTACCAGGAACAATTATTGGCTGGCACGAATATTTTTGATAGGAATTTTAATATACGCCTATGCTTTTTTTCAGTATTTGCAAGTAGTACAACTGAAATGAAAACGTTGCGAGAATTCCACACCGTTGCTACATTACAAGATCAAGCCCAATTAACATTAAATCATTATATACGAACTGCTTACCCGTCACAGCCATTTCGTTTCGGCAAATTACTGTTACTATTACCATCATTACGATCCATATCAGGACAAACCATAGAGGAAATATTCTTCCGAAAAACTATAGGATCGATACCAATAGAACGGTTATTAGTGGACATGTTTAAATCTAGTGACTTCTAGTGACTCCAGGAATCTCTTGTTATAATTTCAACTGTGATGGAAGTGACATCTCAACACATGTATGTTCCGTTTTGTTAATGTGGACTGCACTTAAAGTTTATTTTTGTCATATTTATTATTATCGGTATCCGCTCTGTTTAAAATTTTGGCAGAAAATGTACTTTTCTCTAACTAGGTTGATTTATGCAATATTCAACACCTGCAGAAGCAAGATGTTGAATTTGTGGTATCACTGCATTGACATTTTACAGTATTTGAATTAAATAAAAGGACTTATAGCATTTTGGTGCAACTTATAAGTGTGGACAGGTTTTGAAGTGCTATTCTAGTTATTTTGATGGTGGAAAATGTGCACGTGAACAGTGGTATAGTGTTTTAATGAGTGGTTTAGGAAAGGAAAAGAGGTGATCTTTGACTTCAACGTCTTTTATTTTACCACCTGAAAACTCTACACGAACAACGATGATCACTTTAAAGACGAAATGAATAAATGAAGGCGATAAGTACAGTATAATAAGGCAGTTGACATAGGCTACAATTACCAAAAAACATGGTGAAATGAATGTATTATTGAGAAATAGAAAGCAATAAATCGTGTTGTTTTTTAAACAGAATAAAACGAACGAATTACATTATTGGAAGTCATTGATGATTATCTTGAAATGTGATTCCTCATTGAATTTGAATAGAAAAGTCAACTAGATAAATGAAATTGAGAGAAGAATGAATAAAGAGGTGTTGTGATAGAATGTGTGTAAAGCATATTAAAGAGATCAGATATCAAGACAAGCTAATATTGTACAAGTCACCTGTGTTCACCAACTTCTATCAACATTCTCACTTGAAGGAGTTAAACTGATCAATTTTTATATCAGATTTAAAAAAAAAGAAGTCTCAATAAATCAAAGATTCGTTGTCAGAAATGCGGTTATTTCTCTTAAATACTATGCACTTAAGATCACTGTATAAGATGAAGTGTTAAACCAATCAGTTCGTTAAACCGATGAATTTTCTTTAATACATATAAAGAAGAATCATCAGTTATATTGTATCTGGTAACAAAGCATAATTTTGTGCTATGCGTTGACGAAAAAATGTTAATTAATGTTCAATATTCTCATACGAAATCCATGTCATTCCTAGTATATAGTGCTATATTCTCTTTATATTTCCTCACATTACTTTTTCTTTCAAAATCAACTATTCCAATATTTTTCTTATTGTTTGAATTAGTCCCAAATCTATATTGATGTCCATACCAAATTTTTTTTTATTCACTTTATAACATTGGATGGACTGAAATCATGCCTTTTTGAAATTTCAATAAAACAAACCATTCCATGAAAATGTATTTTAATTTGTCTCAAATTTTCTTTCATAATTCTTTCAATTTTTTTTGTCATTTTTGAATTATTTTTTTTACATATAGTTAAAATAAAATTTTTTGCTGAAAATATAAGAAATTATTCATTACACCATTTTTAAGGATATGCTATTTTCTATGATTTTCTATGTTAGCTTTTAAATGAGAGAAAAGTTCTTTAAGATATATTTGTGTTCAATTGTTCTGTTTAAAGTATCATAGTGCAATATTTAAAGTTATGGTGTATATATGATTATTATTATTATTATTATATTTTATTGTCTGTTGTGTTCAAAGCTCAAACTATCAATACTTAAAAATTATGTACACAAAATCTTCATTAAATTAGATTTTTCAAATTGATTCTTTGCCTTATTTAAAAGTTATCTAAAAATAAGTTCTGAAAAACGTAATAAACTTTTGCCCCTCCTTCATAAGTTTTCACATTAGGTCACTGTACGTATCGACTAGGTTTCAGAATCGACAGATCCTTGAACTGATGGTTTTACTCCGTTTTCCAGAGTGTCCACATAGCTAATAGTGGTATTTTTGAAATTGTTTTAAAATGCATGTTGCCTTTATTTGACAGTGTCACTCTGTGGCCATACGTTTAAGTACTGGACAATCGCATGGAAACGTTTAAATCTATTACAGAATCTCAACAACGAGTTCAAAGATTAGCTAGTAGCTTTTGATCCTCAATACGGGGTTCTAATTTGAATCACCGACATGAGAATAAATCATGTGCTTTTTACTTTCGATATTTGGCTTTCCCAGACATTTCTCATAAAGGAAATTCGGTGAATTTATTTTGAACAATGTAAGCATGAGGTGTTTTTGTCGGATACAAAATGCCTCGGGTTCTAGTTTTACGAAATTTTTAGACCCAATTTTAAATTACAGGGCTATGTATTGACTTAGACTGATGTCTCACAATCTTGAACCTGAAATCAGTAATAATGACATTTTACAACTGATGCAAGATTACATCTAAATTCGATGCTGTGTTGGTATACAAATCGAACACACCATGTATTACCCTTAATAACACTAATTTACATAACGTTTGTGCCAATATGAGACTGTTTTTACTCTGAAAAGCCCCATGAGTACAGGTATAGCCTCTCAGCGCTCTGTAATATACCACAAAGACTTACAATGGACATCATGGTGTATAGAAATATAGAACATCAACAAGTTTTTGACACTATATACTTTCTTTTATATTAAAATCTTAATAAATATACAGTACTAGAGGCATTATAATGTCTAAACTGAAAGTCAACTTGTAGTCAAGGGCTGGCCAACTTTACAATAATAAAAGTTCAAACAGATACCTGAAACAAGGTAAAATATGAATTTTATCGCCTAAGGCTGAAATCTGCCATTAAAATTTCCGATTATCTTTCTTTGTTGTTAGACCCGAAGAATACAAGCAAGGTCCCATGGGGGCAAATGTATCTTATGTACTCTAAAAGGGGATGCTTTTTTTCTACACAAAACACAAGCGACTTTCCCTTCGGCTAGTTAGAATCAAGTTTAATGCACTACTTTTACGGTTGTAGTATTTAATTTAACTGTGCTTGCAGATTGTTGGCTTCAGTTTAAATTTCTATTGTATCAATTGTAATTGTATCAATCAAAAATAATCTTCATATTTCCCTTACAATTTCATCTGTCAACTTTTATATCTGATGCCTGCAGCTTAATTATAGTCTGAGATTTTCATCCCCCAGATTTTTTGTATGAAATGGTATATGGGTTGGGATTGACAGAGACATAGGCTGTGGACGGTTACAGTAATAATATCTTTACTACAATATTAATATTATAATAACCTGTCAGTATCTCTTAACCATTGTAAACATACGGTCAACATACCTTCTTACAATTTAATATTTAAAACGCATAAGTTTTGACTGAATGAATGTCATTATCAAAAAGTGTATTATTTTCAATATCTGTAATCTGTTAAATTATTAGATTTTCATGAACATCACAACTATTATAGCTTTAGGGATATAGGATTATGTACATTACATTTTATGCATAAAACTTTAAGATCTGTAGGTTAACACTCATAAATTAACAAATTATCTTCTTATTCCATGGTTATCAGGACTTAGTCCATTTGCAACCAGAAAATCGATTTGATTAAATCAGACAACTAGTAGTAATAGTTTAGTACCTAAGAACTTGGAAAGTTCACAGCCCGCCAGTATCAAAATGTTTGTCCTCGGTATATTTTATAAGTATTTCTTTAATGGAAACATAACATGTTAATGGAGTTAAAGTATTCAATTTATGGAAATAAGTTGAGAACTAGACAAATATAACTTTGATTAATTAGGGGCTAATTACTCTGCATCAATATTTCATGCTAAAATGATCATATTTAAATTAAAGTGACAGATGCGCCATTTTTCGAGTTGATTTGAGTCTTGAATATATGTAAAAAACTTGCAAAAGTGGATAATTCTGGACACATGTGGATTTAAAGGCTCAAATTTCGACGGTGAACTGTGAGCGCTATAACTGATTGGCTTAGCTAAAAAAAAACACGTTTCTAAGACTAAGGACCGATTGGTCAAAAAATGGCAACCTGTCCCTTCAACACAACACACTTTATGGTTAACAATTACTACTTTATGTTACAATACGACGTTTCGACAATGGTACTCTCGTCTTTACTAAGTTGCAAAGCCTGGAATGTTATTACCATAATATGAATTGTAAATAACGACAGGAAAGTGTGTCCATACACGAGGCAGTGTATGATTACTGCAACCTAAATGCTGCAATACCAATACCACCCGAGTTGCACTTTTGGTAGATATGGATGTATTTATGCATTCGTCTTTTGATTACTCGGTATATCTGTAAGTCTAAAGCGCTGATGATGACAAGCTTGTAATATGCATTACGCCAAATTTAGCATACCATGGTAATTGTAATTGTACATTCAGTGTATAGGTTACTATTTGAATACATCGATAAATGATGATCTAATACATCAGCCGGACACATTTATAATCTATAATATATACAAACTCCTCCCCTTTTACAATAAACCAATCATACACTAGTCTTGTATATAAAATACTTGTTGAATACTATCTATTAGATTTAGACACATAAAATACGATGGGACGGGCAGCCACCAATAGATGCCCTCAAGCGAGAAATTGTCTGTATAGTTAAATTGATAATGTATGAAGTGAGCTGAATGCAGAGATATAATATTCTATATGATAATATAGACCTCTACAGATTAGGGTGACTGAATCCTTACAAAATTAACAATACAGACGAACGTATATGAAGGAGCAGAAAATTGTTATACGCCATATTTGAATAGTAGCCTGTATCGCAGATTATAATATAGTCGACCCTTATCCAGTTGCTTCTTTTACTCCCTTAAAATCCCTTTATTTACGTCGACTTAATACACAAACTGAATTGAATGCAATTTCAGTGTTCAAATATTGAAGTAATGTGTTGAATGGTTTGTATGGAGTCAATATAAGACAGATGTGTAGTCAATTCATATTGACTATTCGCCTTTCTAAATTCTAACAAAATATTTCACCGTGTCTCAATAATATAGACTTTGTCTAAACAAACTTTACTTTTTAATTTATCATTAAATACTTGAAAAGTGAAGTATTGTTTATAAACTGACCAGAAAGTCAATATTATAATTATTGAGCAAGGATCATAATATATAATAGTCCCTGAAATGTTGATATCCACACCATGTTCATGTCAAATCCTATTTCTACATAGCCAGGCAAAACCAAATTCCATTTCTACTTTTATCCCAGCAGAACCAAATTCCTTTCCTCTTAGATCCGAGAAAAACTCACGCTCATCTAGGTTCAGGACCATGTAAAACCCTAGTTAATTCATTCCTACGTAGATCCAGGTGAAGCTCTTGTTCGTTCCTACGTAGATCCAGGTGAAGCTCTTGTTCGTTCTTACTATGATCCATTTCAAACCATTCTTCGTTCCTACTTCGATCCAGGTAAAACCCTTGTTCGTGCCTACTTAGATCCAGGTAAAACCATACATCTTTTGTACTTTGGTCCGGGTAAAACCATACTTCGTTCCTTCTTTCTCACTTTTCCTCCTTGAGTTCGCCGTCTCAGCCAAACTCGTTCGCAGTTCCTACCACACTTATGCCTTTAGTCTGGTTTTTCCTGTCCAATCCAGTACCTCTCTGTACTCCCCTTGCCTAATTCTTCTTCCACTCCACTAATTGTTGTACTCGTGACACCCGAGTCTTTTCTCCCTAATTCCCTGCCAATTATTCCGGCACTACAATGTCTCTCAAAATTCCTACGTCCATATCTCTTTCTCTCTTTGCCCTCTATATTCCCCTATCTGGTTCTCAGTACTTTTCTATAAATATCCATTCTCTCTTTCTTTCCCAGACATTCCTGTCTATTTGCCCTGTCTCAAATTTTAAGTTTATTTAAGTAGAACAAAATAGTCAAAAAATATATTATACATAGTATCTTTTAATATTGTTTGGAATAGGAAAGGAAAGTTTTTTTTTGTGCAGACCCGAGTACTATCCAAATAAACACGAGCAGTGCTTTTTTTTAAATTTCTTAAACTATTTCAAAAGCTAGAAATCTCGAAATCGAATATAAAGTTTGCTCTATTTCGACCTATTCCTGAAAGTGAACAATAACAATTGCTTGCCTTTACACAAGCGGAATTAATTATATCTATAAGAATAAGAAAGGTTTAAGAAATTTTTTGTAACTATTTACAATTTGTTATAAAAATGTATGAAGTGTCCCTTTCACAATATAAAAATTGTTTGATAAGGTTAAAATATTTGAAGCATCTGTTTTGCTCAATAGATACCATTTCTATTATCACCAAAGATTACATTATGTTAATCCAGAATTGTAACAGTTTAGATTATTGAATCAAGATTTAATTCTGAGTTAATAGAAGTTAAACAAATCGAATACATCCCCTTAATCCCCGACTCGTCTTTCCTCTAAAATATCACGTAAATTCTCCCTTCAACATTTGGCTTTCTCAATCAAATATGACAAATCTTTTCGAGAAATATTCGCCTTTTGAGAAAAGCACACAAACGAGAGTAAATGTAATCATAATTGGTCGAATGAGATCTGTTTGAGAGTGTTTCCCACGTTGAGAACAAGGCTAACGTTGTATTGTTGAAGTTTAAGGAACGCTGTTCGCTAATCCATTCGGTCACAAAGTCTCAGTCAGCTATTCTTAACAGGTTCATCTTAATACTGTCTTTTGTTTTCGTCAAGACACATCCACACCTGTTACTAAAACATTGACAAATCTTTTTAGAAAAAAAAATGAAACATTTAGACATTCGGATAATTTTTGCTTCCCGATACAGCCGATTTCCGTACATTTAAAACGATTTCTTTCTTAAAATATTTTCAGTGTGGATGTCAAGTTGTAAAATTGTGGATAACAACATCTTGCTTATTTGTATGTTAACAAAAAAATTTGAACCTCTTATTCGATTTCCAATTGTCAAGGAATCTTGATCGAATAATCGTTACAGGTTTGAGATGATATGAGGGAAAAAGCGACTAGTCGGATGGGGATTGATTAGTGAAATGTTTTACCCAGTAATGAGCGCCTGGGACTTCCCGTTGTCAAGCAATCTTGATCGAATAAACTTTACAGGTCTGAGGTGATAAACTTGAAAAATCGATTAGTAGGATGGAAATTGGGTGAAATATTTCCCCGAAAATGAGAGCATGTGACCATGTGGCAATATTTAGCTCAAACTTCGATTGTCACATACATTTGATTCAAAAAAATGTGTTTGATATAGCATTTTACCTACAGGTCAAAATATTAATTTAATGTGAAGCTACTTGAGTTGTCAAGCCTACAAAAATATGTAACTCGGCGACGAGCTTTTCAAATGGATAACAAAATTCTCCCGTAAGCTGATCCTGTAAATTCATAACATGTAAGTCATAGCCGATCTCAGAAAGTTAGAACCACAGCGTTTTCTAGACCGAATCACTCTAGATCAGAAAATGCTTTAAGTACATATCAATTATCTACTTTATACGAGAATATTTTAGGACGATATGCTTGAAGAATTTAATTTTAAAATCTCAGTAGTTTAAATTGAACAACAATGCACCAACATTTGACATTTTATTAAATAATCTAGCGTTAAAACTCTCACTGTTCCACTTGATTGAAGTAAAATTGTTTGTCAGTGAAATCTGTTAGTAGTAAGTGAATTTATCTGTTACTGTGACTAATTGTCAGCAATAAAAGGAAATGTTCCACAATCAGAACGGAATAACGTGTCGTACAATGTCACTCAAAGATGGGAAGAGTTTATTTTTCATAATGTAACAAGTTTATGCTTTAATAGACTTATTGAATTTTCCACGCCATAAAGTCAATGTCTAGCTGTGAAACGAGATTGATAAAAGATATTGGATCCATTATTTGCTGATGCTCTATGATTTATAGAAGGTCAATACATTAGCTGTCAAACTGGTAGAAATCAACGACAAATTGATTTTACTGTGTCATAAGTAGCAAGTCGTTACGGAACTCAACTGTGAAAAGAGCCAAGTGTATTTGTATTTTGTTATTCTTAAAAATCGAAGAACACGACCCACTTTAGACTTGACAATAGTCAAATCAAACAATATCAGTGCTGTATGGGGCTGATTGAAGTAATGAATACAGAACGACAACCCGAGCCCGCAGGTAAAACTTATGCATTTTGTTTTTACCATAGAAATGTTTTTATTGAAAAACGCAAACATAAGCCGAGGTAGGGAAATTGATAGTTTGAAATGTCAATCATGTTATTGACTTGACGGTTGATGAGACATGCATTGTCAATTTAGAAACGATTCTTTCATTGCTTTGTTCTATAGAATTATCCCTAGTTCTAATATTTATAGAATATAATAAAACGTGTATTGAATATTAAATAAGATATATGTTTATCTGATATTATAATTATTGATTTTTGGCTTCAGAATATATATTTTACTTAGTGATTCTAATCAAATATAAACTGTACATTGTAGTAGATTCAAATAATGAAATAAAACCAACTTATGACTATGAGTTCTATCTGTTGGTAAAAAAATGTTCACAGCTAATCGTCGAAATTTGAGCCCCCTTTCCTCGTGTATCCCTTATTAGATATGTGTTTGAAAGCTAAAAATACGACTCGCCTTTTTAAGAGCCTCCATTTTGAAGAACGTTTAAAGACTTGATAAATAAAAAATTATCGAACAGCGTTCTTTCTGTTATCAACAACACGTACAACTTTCAGACAACGCAAATTTTTAGGATTGGGATTTATAAGCTTGTGAACGAAATAAAAGTGTTTTTTATTTGTTTGAATTATAATTGAAAGAATTATCTGATTTTGTACAGTTCTAGTCGTACTTCTGACTTCTGATAATTATAAATCAACCCCCGAAGATGGCAAACCATGGACTTTAAAGTTGGGTGTAAGTTGGGGGAAAAGTAGATCGAATTAAGATCAAATAAAAATATAAGGTCCATTCTAAAGGTCGTTCAAATCCTTAATAAAAATAAAAATTAAAATTAGCAAAGACTTATGCACTTCCAGAACATTTTAAAAACATCACATTTTTTGTGAAATATTTCCAGTGTGTTTGTTTTTAAAGCTGAGATGTAACGATATCAGAATGTTACACGGTGTTAGCAATGGATTTTTCAAATTTCAAGAGGTCAAGTGTTATAAAAATTATATCAATTAAAACTGGTGTACATTACAGTTCTATGATCAAACTACTGCACATTTGTGAATAAGCTGAAAACTAGAATAAGGGAGATCACTATGATATGGAAAAGGCAACCTTCATATAGAACTCATACCACAAATAATTTCAAGAGTTCTGATTGTAGTCCGTAGCATTTGAAGATCTCCCCTTCTATTGCCCTTTTTTCTTTTTTGAATGGTATAGATTTGGATTTTGTTGTCTGAAATTCCCCCTAAATCTGAATTTTTGATAAGTATTTAAGAAATATTGTGCGGGTCCAGTTGCAACAATTAAAGGGAAACAACTCAGACGAAATTTGAGGACTTCATACTACAACTGTTGTTGTATTCGTAAAATTCTAAATAAAAGCTCTTTATCTGCCGAGATAGAATTGAAAACAATGCCAGTCTCACAGACTCTTCATTCTTATCTTGTGTATAAGTCTGGTTACTGCCGTGGTTCACAAAGATCCGTAGGGACAAATATCTTCACAAGAAACACAACAAGAAATTTAAAGTCATAAATTTATGGCACTGATTATTCTCCAATTAATTAATTTAGTAATTTATAACCCTCTAGTAGAATTTCAGGAGATATATTCCTAGCGATATTTTCAAAATCCTGGGGATATTTCATACACAGTCGGGAGGTTACAGATATATTTCCGGGGGAATTTCTACCTTCTCCGACTCACAGGATATGAGGTATACTCAAAATTTGTAAAATGAAATTTCCTTAGTGTTACAAACGGTAAGCCTAACTCACTGGTTGATGAACTGATCGAGTCTTGAGAGCACGAGTTGCGCCCCCTTGTTTCATATTTATTGTTTTTCTCAAATGAGTATTTATATGCTTGTCGGTTTGTAAGTCAAACAAATCTGCCGTGTCTTATACGTATAAAATTTTCATTATACATTCTACATAGCTAATTCTACCCTTATACTGTAATAATAATATATCTGGTATCAAATTCTTCAATTCTTCCACAGCATCCTACTCAATGATCTTCTTGCTCTTTCCAGAAATCCAACACTTTTCTTTTTATTTAGTTCAACTGAAATACACAACAATGTTTCCTATATTTTTGTTATAGAAATGACAATACAGTAAAAAATATTTAACTATTTGGTTGGTAATTTCCAATGTAATTGGATGATTGGGTTCCAATCCAGCCCAGTATCAAGTGTATATTAGATTATTTAAATTTGGCTGCCTCTTTCTCATGTATCCTCACCTTAATACAAAAATTCTAAGTTTCTTATTTTTGTGGATAGTGCCAGAATTTAGGTCATTAAAGCTTAAAGAGGTTTGCTAAAATTGTAATGTGTATCAGTGAAACAATCAGGCGTTGTGGTTCTTGCAATTTCTAACGTATATGACATAGCTGTCGCAAAAGGCGTTATAAATTAGTATCATTTTATGCCACAGTGACGTTATATGCGGTTAAGCATCTATATATTTTCAGAAACCACAAACATCTGACGAAAAATGGAATGATATAAATTGAAAAATGTTCCCGTTACACATAAAAAAGCTTGAAAAACCTCTTTGAAGCATATTAATAACATAATACAACAGATTATTCCTACCCTTTGACATTTCTACACAATCATTATCAACAGTAATGATATTACTTTCTTTATGACTGGTGAAATCATTGACTGTCTTGTTACTAGCACTAAAACCATAGATTAACCCTTCTCCCGAAATACCAAGGATTTTATACAAATTGAATTCTTTTTGTTCACTATTATTTTGACTCTCCTTTAGTTCACTATTACGTTCTGTTTTATTGTTATCATGCGTCTCCTTTAGTTTATCATAACGTTGTGTTAAATTGTTATCATATCTTTCCTCTAGTTCATCATTACGTTCTGTTTCATTGTTATCACGTATGTCCTTTAATTCATCACTATGTTCTGTTTCATTGTTATCATGTCTCTCCTTAAGTTCATCATTACGTTGTGTTTCATTGTCATCATGCGCCCGCTTTGGTTCATCATTACGTTGTGTTTTGTTGTTATTATGTCTCTTATTTAGTTCATGATAACACCGTTTTTCTTCGTTATCATGTGTCTCCCGTAGTTCATCATTACTTTGAGTTTCATTGTTAATATGTCTCTCCTTCAGTTTATCATTGCGTTCTGTTTCATTGCTATCATGTCTCTCCTTTAGATCATCATTACGTTGTGTTTCATTGTTATCATGTCTATCTTTTAGTTCGTCATTACGTTGTGTTTCATTGTTATCATTTATTTCCTTTAGTTCATCATTATGGTGTGTTTCATTGTTATCATGTCTTTCGTTTAGTTCATCATTACATTGTGCTAAATTGTTATCATGACTTTCCTTTGGTTCTTCATTACGTTCTGTTTCATAGTTATCCTGACTCTCCTTTAATTTATTATTACGTTGTGTTTTATTGTTACCATGTCTTTCCTTTAGTTCATCATTACATTGTGCTAAATTGTTATCATGACTTTCCTTTGGTTCTTCATTACGTTCTGTTTCATAGTTATCCTGACTCTCCTTTAATTCATTATTACGTTGTGTATTATTGTTATAATGTCTTTCCTTTAGTTCATCACTACGTTCTGTTTCGTTGTTATCATGTCTTTCCTTTATTTCATCATAACGCTGTGTTTCATTGGTATCATGTGTGTCCTTTAGTACATCACTACGTTCTGTTTCATTGTTATCATGTCTCTCCTTTAGTTCACCATAACGTTGTGTTTCATTGTTATCATGGCTTTCGTTTAGTTCATCATTATATTGTGTTAAATTGTTATCATTACTTTCCTTTGGTTCGTTATAACGTTGTGTTTTATTGTTATCATGTCTTTCGTTTATTTCATCACTACGTTCTGTTTCATTGTTATCATGTCTTTCGTTTATTTCATCATAACGTTGTGTTTCATTGTTATCATATCTTTCGTTTATTTCATCATAACGTTGTGTTTCATTGTCTATATGTCTTTCGTTTAGTTCGTTATTACTTTGTGTTTCATTGTTATCATATTTTTCGTTTAGTTCATCATTACGTTGTGTTTCATTTAATCCAGTATCACATTGACCCTGCTTTAGTTCAATTTCATCAACTTGTTTTCCCATTAATTCGCCAAATAGGTTTTCATTTAATTTAGCGTTTAGTTTCTCCTGTCTCTTTCTCAAATCTTTGTAGAAATGGACTTCGTCTCGTTTATCATCTAAGATGATCAAACGACATTGACGTATTAAAGTGCCATCTGAAATCATAAATATGAAGAACAATGATGAAGAAAAATAATTTCATTGTTTAGGTTTTGCTGACCAAAGAAAAAAAAACATCCGCAGCGAAATAAAATTTCATGAAAACAATCATTACCTACTGTCTGAATACAGATATCAACCCGAACATTGAAACTTTTGTTGCTGCTTTAGATTACAGATGATTTTCATCAAAAATACTGATCCACCGAGAACCTTGCGGCGGTTTCTAAATCTAAAACAGTCACATTAAAAATGCTATAGATCCTTAAGTTTTCAATCGAATTTTCATAAGAATTGGTAAGAATGTTTCTCGTTTTTTAAACTGTACATGATAAATTAAGCGAATATGGATGTGTTCCACTATGTTTCGAGAATATCATTTAAGATGGCAGTGGAGAAAATTATGTCTGTAAAGAATTACCTTCAGTTGTTTCAGCTGTTTCGCGATAACCTTCAAGAAAGATAACAGGGCATTCTTCTAAATACAAGTCATCTGAAAGATTAATAGATTCGCACAATTCCTCCAAAAAGACAACAAGAAATTTAACTTTTTATTTATTTCGGTGACAATCTTATCTTCTTTTTAAGAAATTGGGGTATCCGAAATTCGAACGTCTTGTTGATATAGTCTCTGACACCAAGACATCTTCCGTCGCAGCTGTGCGTAGACAAGTGGGACAGGATAATTGAGTCTACTTTATACATGACGTCATTGTTAAGATATTCAAATATTCAAGTCTGTCAAATGGACGACTCGATGAGATTACAAGTTACATTTTTTACGGTAAACTGTTAACAATATTACTGATTAGATTAGCGGAACAATTCACGTTTCTGAGGTATGATTTACCCCAGGAAATCTCGCCTCTGCCCCTTTAAAGCAATCCTGTAAGACATTTAGAAGTATCACAGAATATTGAGAACAACAGTTATTTTTATGGATAAAGAATTCTATTTATTTCTTTAAACACAGCGTTTCATCACGCATACAGGTAACGTTCTTAAATGGTGATTAACCATTATCCAATATCCAATAGTGTCTCATTTCCATAGTGATGTCGAATGGAATAAATAATATAAAATAAGATAAGATAAATAAATAGAAGTCTATATACATAAAAAACTGGATTTAAAGCAATAAAGACGTATTTAAAAAAAAAATTAAAATAAATATGATCATATAATTCTGTTAACAGTTTTGCTACGATACAAACGGTTACAAGTGTTTGTAAACAAAGTCAATGAAAACAAAACATTCGTAAGATATATATCAAACTGATAATGAAATGAATCATTGGATGATCAATAGTCACAATAATAGCATTAAATGCATATATTATGTAAGTGTCAGAATTAACTTCCAAAGTATCTAGATTTAAGAACTATATTTAGGTCGCACTATTACTATCAAAAGACAAATCACTGCTAAATACCGGATGTAAAGAGTCTCGCCCAAGGAGACACAACGGAATTCCCCATTCATTACGGAGTCAGATTCAGCTTACGGATACTGTCGAGAATTGCCGAATGGCTACGATACTTACAGAATCTGCGCAAACATAGAAAACGTTACTCATCTGTAACAGGATGGCCTACAAAATATATAAATTTAACTTACCGATATCTTCCATCGTACGTTTAGATTTGGTGAAGAGACCTCCGGCGATTTTGTTTCTTTCGTAAACCAGATTTTTAGAGGGAATGACCAGAAAATCTACACTGTTCATCAGGACATAAAACTTCATCATCTCTTCATCTAAACCTGTAAATGACACACGGTCAAATTCTGTTTCTAAGAGATATTTAGATATTTTCTGAAGATCTTCTTCAACTAAAAAATAAAAAGAATTAAAAGGTAATATCAGATCGAATCTCAAGATCGAAGCACTAGGGAATACAGAGCAAAAAAGTACCGAAACACTTACCTATCGGACCCATTTCTACAAAACAGCCCTCGCCTCCTCTTTCTCTTACAAATCCAATTTCTGGTTCTGATGTTATTATAAACTCTAGCTTATAATCAATGGCATAGGCCTTTATTTGATCATTTTTATTAAATTTTTTCGGTTTCTTGTATTTGACCCTGTCAGCATGCTTGCCAATTTTACCGTTCTCTCTATTCAGTTCTTTCACAGATTTGATTAATGTTGTAGATATAAAGTTATTTAGTAGATATTCAGCTGCCTCGTCTTCCCTCCTATCCACTGCTGCTCTTAATTTATCTAAGTAGGTTCCGAATGCTTTATTGTCCTGTTTTCCTGCGAAATTTCCTTTATTTTGATTGTATCCTTTGCTACCTGTGGTTTCCAGGCCGCTGTACCATTGGCATTGTGTGTACCTGGAATTGAAATAAGTAGGCCTACTCGACTGGAAGCTTCTATCTCGTAGGCCTATCATTCGTGGAGTATCATAACGGAAGCGTGGGTTGAAATAACCACGGGGAGGAATCCCCCAATTGAAATTTTGGAAACGTTGATGTTGATGGTATCCATTAGGTCGATCTGAAATTAGAAAAACACATAGGCTAAGTTTTAACAAATTTTACGTTTAACTTGTACGGAAATCATTATATGTGGTTGAATATTTGAAATATGATGATACTTTTCATTGAATTTACTTACAACTAGCACCCTGTGTTCTAAATGAACCATCACCTCTAAAATACGGAAACTGTTGCCTGAAATTAAAGTCCGCCATAGAGTTTACTATCACTATGATACGCTGAATGTTAGTAACGCTATTATGACGTCATAGTAAGACATTGTTATTAATTATATCAATATGTTCGTCCAATCAAATTTCAAGATTTATTTCCTGCAGGAAAATAGCAATTCATTAAATATTACTAGAATCATAATTTTTCAGATGACGTTCCTCAGCAATTTTATTTGACCACTGAGGTTACTGGCATGAGGCTACTGTTTAACCGGCATGAAAGTCTTTCAATTTGGTAGCATTTTTTAATATCATTTTGGATAGAAAATAAAGTGGGAGGTTTATCTAAAGGGGCATTCCGCTTTTTTTTGTAGGTTAGAAAATTGTTTTGCTCAAATTTGTGAAAACTATAAACCAAAATCTATAGAATTGTAGCCTATCCCTTAACGTATCTGAGAGTTTTAACTAAAAAAACAGCTGTTAATTTTTTAACGCCAAAACTTTACGTTAAAGGTTAAGGAACCTTTTAATATTTGTTATGCTTATTGCAAGCTGTTAGAAAACTACTGTTCGGATTTGAGTAATATAAACGCCTTATTGTAGGGAAATATGTCCCCTGTGTTTTTTTTTGAAGATTTCAACTAAATATAACGAGCCAATATAAAGCCAATCACAGCTACTAGGTCAAACTGCTTAATCAACAATTATTACTCAAATTCGGTTTGATCAAGTAGATAAATAGATATAAATAGCAAACTTTGGAAATATTTTTAGGTATAATTTACAACGTTTTTGATAATGAAAATGTTTTACAGAAAGCGCAGAATTCCCCTTTAATCTGCAATCCCTGTAGATCTGATTCTTTGTTATTATATTGTAGCATGATTGTTAACACCCAAGGTTCCCAGTATCATGTCTTTTACTGCTGTGCTAATTTCAATTTTATTTTTCGTGGATCCAATTTTGTATTTCTCTCCATAAATTGCGAATGTGAATAAATTGACTTTAGAAAGAGATGAAAGATAGACTGTTTTTCTTTGTTATCATGACAGACATTGCAATTTGGTGACTCGTTAATTTTCATTGTAAAAATTAAATTATTTGTCGCTAAAACTCTACGTAGTATCCTAAATTGAAACCACACTAAATATGTATCTTTCCTACATTTTTTATAAAAAATCTGTATAGGTAAATAGTTCTTCGTATGATTATCTAAATCTATGCTTCATTTGTTAAAAGGAGTAATCTGTTTTTTTGCATTGCTTTTGCACAAATGGAAATTGTATTGTTAAACATACCTTACATGAAATTCTAAGCTCATTGCATACTCGAAAGTTTAATTATTCACTAGGTGGTATTTGTTAGAGTATCTAATGCGACTCTCTCTGCGACTAAAATACGTACTTTATTCAATTCCGCTGTTTCCCACAGGAGATATAGATACACACCAATGCAGTTGATGAAAGAAACACATCTTTAATGTAATAAAATCTTTATGTATAAAACTAAGTAAAGTAAAGGATATAATATAAGAATATGATGCTGACATTTACTGACTAAACCAAGAGTGAAAAAATTAACTATTTAACGATGAATACTTTCTGGTTGCCAAGTTAAGTAATTCATTCTAAACAACGTTACTAAAGCAAACAGTTTATGTATTAAGATTATATATGAATTATTAAAAATCACGTTTTAGCAAGATACAAATTTGTTCGAGTGGAATAAAAGAATATCGTGTCATATCAATGAGAATCTATTACTCATTTTTACTTTACAAGAATCAATAAACCGTAATAAGATCATAATAATATATAAGAACTTGTTAAATTATGTATAAATTTATGATTTTACAGGTTCGCCATTTTCTGAGGTTGATTTGTGTCTTGGATATATGTAAATCTTATCTGATAAGTAGTAGAATTGTACACAAAGCTCATAATTCCTTCAGAAATACCTCAAACTAGGAATTTCACTTTCCCTTTCTTTAAAATGTTCTATATATGCGCAGAGTCTCAAGAAAAGACGAAAAAACCCGGATAATTCTGGACACATATGGATGTGAAGAATCAAATTCTACGGTGAGCTATGATTCAGAATATTATTACTGATTTGCTTAGCTAAACAATTCCGGTTTCTGAGACTAAGATTTTGATTGGCCAAACGGTTGCCGAACTTGTCCCTTTAAGCTTAACATTGATAATATATTTGTACGATACGAGCCAAGACACGAAAGCATTATTACGAGTGAAGAAGTTCCTAAAAAAATCCTATGTAGGCACTATATTGCGATGTACATCATAAGCAAACTTCTTGTAGATAAAAACAACATAGTACAGGTCAGGTCAATAAAAATGTCAAAAATTGTCAGAAATGAAATGAAATTGTCAAATTTGATAAACTGTTCTTCAGATTATGTTTTCTTACTATCATAGTAAAGTAATTTCATTCAATGATTTTTACGCATATCTGGGAACATTTCGAACAGTAAACAAGAACAGTAGACTGAATTCTGATGGTTAAACCCTATATTTTTGTTAACGCCTATTCAACCTTAAGTAAGATTTCCTGTGTCCCAGATAAAAATAAATATCGTCTCTGTTAATACATAACTTGAATCATGTTGTTACTCTAATATATAATATATATCTAAATATTATCTAGGTATTTTCAATATGACCATATGGTATCAAATTTGGATTGTCATAAATATGATTTTTGCTATCTACTTTTGTTGCCTTTTCTTCATCGACAGTTGATGCCATATTGGTGAAACCAGATCTGTGGTTTAGAGAAACCTTCCGTCTGAAAGAAAAGCATTAATAGTATACAGGGGAAAGCTTAGTTGGTCAACTCGAAAAAAAGTTTTGACCCGTAGGAAATTCAAACTTTCAGAAAATTCAGAAAACCCACTTCTCACAAAAAAAAAAAAGGAAGTTATTGAAACTGAAAAGATATTCATAATTTGTATTTCAAGTTGTTAAATAGAGCATAATATGCCAATGAGAAACCATCGTTCCAAATATTCAGCAATTCAAAAGTTTTAAATAATTTCGAGTGTACTTACTTTTGTTTTTTCTGATAATATATCGCCCCGACTAATACACAAATCAAAATGATACCAATTATAGTTGCAATTACTATCACTGTAATATAAAATAATGATGGTTAATTATTTACTCAGAGATTTACTTAGATAAGTATATAAACGAATGTTTTTCATCTTTCCATGATATGCCTTGCGATAAGGATATTTGCATTCATTTTGAAATTATGAAAAATTGGAACATTTTATACAGCGGGCATTCGAAATGACGTCTACTTACCTACTGTTAATCTTTCTGGGTTAGCTCCCTCATCACCATCAGTTAGTGTAGCATTATTGGGAGTAGTACCAGTATAACTGGTCGTGGATTGCTGAGTATTGGGTGCTTTCTCACTACCAACAGTAGAATCAGAATTGGTCTTACCAGACACTGTTGAGTCACCTATTTCTGTTGCCACAGCATTGGTAATGGAAATTGGAGAAGTTTCCTTTGTTTCACCTTCTGAATTCGTGGTTTTACCATCCTGTTCTGTGTCTGTCGTGGTTATTTCAGACACTTGGTCGGTAGTGACTGGAACTGAATCAGTCATAGTAGCTGTTGGCTGTCTGCTGGTAATATCAGTTTGTACTGATTCTGCAGTTGAAGATTTTTGTGTCGAATCTGACATCTTTTCAGCTGATGTTATTGTGGTTTTCGAATCGGTAGTAATGGGGTTTGTAAAAGGTGTGGATTCAGAGTAAGAAGTTGACTTTGGTATTGCAGATGATGTTTGCGTAGTTGATACTGAAACGGTTTGTGAAGGGGTTGCAGTTGAAGTTGTTGGTATTGCAGTTGTGGCAGATGATGACGTTGATATAACAGTTGGCGTTGATGAAGGAGATGGCGATGTTGATGTTGAAGCTGTTGATGTGAATGGTGTTGTTATATTGGTGGTTGGTGCTGCTGTTGATCTATGAGACGAACATGTTAATGACATATTCGCGATGGAATCTGAAAATTTTAAGGATCAAGCATGAGTTATGGTATTCAATTCAACAAAATATTCTGAGAATTATTGTGTGTTAAGAATCAGATAAAAAATATATTAACATCGCGTAAAGACGCAGGCTACGACCACATTATCAACATTTCACATTTTGTTTAGGGTCTAGCATAGATTCTGAAATGCTTCCTTCTTTATCCAGTTTTCCAGTTCACTTCAATAGGCTTTACAACATCATATCAACGACATCAAAACTTACTTGTTGATGAATCAATATAAAAACAATGCCTTATATCAGATATTGTGTTATCTTTTTCCACCATGATATCAACAGTTTTGGTGAACTCTGTGTTTACTACGGTGCCGCTACGAAAACATCCAAACTCAACAGAAGAGGCTGTAGAAAACCGTATTTCTGTACCACAATTGCGATAATCTGGAGCCTTTATTAAACTTATCTGGATAGCATTGGTAGTTGTGGTAAGTTTACAGTTACATTGTAACTTATCAATGGGTATTTCAGATGTATCTACTAGTAACTTGGTACCGGTTATGGTACCTTCTGAACATGGCCATATCACTAGAACGAAATGAAAATATAACATTAAGTCTTTGCTAGGCATCCATCTTTCTAAAAAGTGTACCCACCTTCATGGGAGAAAACAGATGCATATAGCATAGCCTTAAGGTGGTATGTTCATTTCAGAATATAAAAAATGACACAATAAAGACTATCGGACACTGCTTCTGGAGAATTTGAACCAAATTTAAATCTAACTATGTTTGAATAGCGTCTCGGGGAAACAATAATTGTTTTATTTGGTAAATAATTTAATTCTGGATTGGCCATATGCATCCAGTTAAAATGAAATTGACGAAATAAAATTTTTTTTCTAGATTTTTGTTTGTGAGGGATTGGCAATGATTGTTTTTACATGTACTGGTCAAGCTAAATGAGATAATCAGTACATTTAAACTATTTTCTTAATTCAACAACTTACAATACTGGGCGTTTAACTTTTATTTACTTTATTCGCGTGAAGACACGCAATGAGTCTATTTGGTCATTTTAGAAGTTTTTTTCAATTTTTTAGCTAACTCAAAATCGTTTACACAAACGCATTCAAGCACACAACATGAATAATTTCGCAAGTTAACTTTTGAAGTTAAATACATGACATATTAGCATAATTTTTTTTTATGATATTTCTAGTATCCATTAATCGATTGCTTAAAACAAATTTAAAAAGTAAAGGCAGCACCATATTTCCAGTCAATGCTATCTTTCAAACTGTAAACGTCAATACTTCCGCCGGGCTGGATCACTGCATTTTTGTGACAGTGGAACAGCTCAGTGGGTTGAATTGTTGAAGTTTAGGTTCGAATCACCCTCAAGCTAAGAAAAATTCGGATGCCTGTACCGGTTTTTCCGAGAGTCCTCCCGGTGTCGGCTTTCACTCCCTTATACCCAACGGAGTGTGATTCTGTCATAAACCGACAACTTTGATACCTACAATATCAAAGTTGTAATACTACCTCGACTTGTATACTTCATTTGTATACTAATAAATTGTGGATACTAAAAACGTTTTATATTGTTTCATAAGGATCGAATTTCATTTTTCATTCCTCGAAAAACTTCTCTATAATATACAATTTCATATTTCTTTTGTTAATTTAGCCATTATGAAGCCAAGTATTTAAGATATTTTGGACGATCTACGTTAATTTATCAGTACTGACAATCTGTGTAATATGACCGGTAATCTCTTTTATTCTGGCTAAATGAATATAAATGAATTAAACCACTACGTCTGTCTTAACCTTTTTATAAATATAATTATCAAAATCTCTTTGGTGAAATGATAAAGGGTTTTATGTATTTCTATTCAACACCTGATTTGGCTAATGAAGACTCACACCAATGCCAAAGGCAAGACTAATCGTCCATAACATGAACAAAATATTGCCACACAAAACTTGCAAATCTTAAAGGGTATTATGAAAAATTTTCATTATCAAACACGGAGTGAATTATACCTGAAGTTATTTCTAAAATGTGCTATTTCAAACTGAATTTGTTTCAATAGAGTTAATTAAAATTAAAAAGGAAGTTTGCTAATTGTTAAGTGAAGGGCTAAAACTTGTTTTGGTGTTAGGTCTCGACTTAGTTGAAATCTATAGAATGCATGCTTCTCTACAATAATTAGGCTTAAATCATTCCAAATAGGAAACTTTTAAATAGTTTTGGTGTTACAAAACAGGATTTTTAAAAATAAAACTTTCAGATGTGTCAAGGATCACATTTTTCTCTATTTTGATGTAAAGTTTTCAAAATGTTTAGCGAAAAATGTTTTCGACAGTTATGATACTCTCTTTAGTAATGCTTACTTGCTTTATCAAATTTCAACGATTGCTGTGGACATCAGGTGCATACTTCGTTAAAAAATATTTTGCACGGAAGATCTTCCAGTCCCTTATATAAGATTATTTCAGGACATATTAAGGCGGGTTTAATTTACAAACCTCTGAAAGCTGGGAATGTAACTGCATACTAGAGTCAAAAAAGGGGTGTGTGATATTTGTTCACCGTGCATTGAGAGTATAAAGCTAGGTGTTGTTTAGGGATTAGGGAACAAGAAACCCGTTCAATTTTAGCTATTGTTATATCTATTGTTCAAGTCACATAGGAACTGTAAGATGATATTAGGAGATGTAGGATAAGATAATGAACAATACCTACCTGGTATGTTATAACCTGGACAAACACCACCTGTAATGCATTTAATGTATATTTTAAATATCAATATATTTAACATGTTGGCATGGTTGTAGTATTAAAGCCCAAAATTGGCAATTGCAATAAACTATCAAAAAGTATTGAAATTTGAAAAAATGACACAAAATAATTCTCAGATGGCAAGTCAACAAATTTCAGATAAACTTTGTATTTTCTCCAAAAAAAACTATTTAGTAAAAAATAAAGCCATTTATATCACATGATATGATAAAAAATCAAAGCCCCCTGTATACTGTTATTTTTGAAGATTATAGTAAGACGAGTATTCTACGGTTGATTAATTTGCCTACAGGTAAATACCGTTATCAATCATATTTAATACCCATTTTTTCTTATAAGACAATGACATTTATTAGACAGCATTTATATTATACCACAGCTGGTAACAATTATTGAACACCAATATGGCTTAAATTTGGTTTTCGTCGTAGCACGAACAAAAAAGAATGAACATTGAATTTCGAAACTTGAAGAAAAGGGGAAAAAGACCTAAATTTAATATAACCTACTTTGTGTGAGACAATGGATATATATCCAATAAAACAGGATTTTTATCTCCTATTTTTATAGGTTGGTCTCAGAATATCTTAAACTTACCCTTCACGCCTGTTAAGCAAATCAATGCAGTTAAATAGGCTGCGACGAATACGAACAGATTCTCCATTGTTTTTAACATAAATATTTAATCTTTAATTAAAGATTCAATACATTGGAAACTGCGATTTCTTCACAAACTGTCCTTAACTGTATAATGCTTTCTTTATTCACAAACTATCCGTGAATATATAATGCTTTCTTTATTCACAAACTATCCTTGAATATATGATGCTTTCTTTATTCACAAACTATCCTTGAATATATGATGCTTTCTTTATTCACAAACTATCCTTGAATATATGATGCTTTCCTGTATTAGCAAACCTTATTTTACTATATAATGCTTTCTTTATTCGCAAACTATTCTTGATGTTATAATGCTTTCTTTATTCGCAAACTATCCTTGATGTTATAATGCTTTCTTTAAACACTGTCCTTGACAATAATGATCCTTACAACAAGAGAATTATATTCCATATCACAGTAGGTTTAAGTCTTGAGGAAATCTCTATGTAAAAAGACGTGCCTTTAGGTCACTTTCAAATAACTGACTACATTCCCCAATAATAGTGTCATCTAATCGTGTTAGAAAGAAGAGTATTTTTGGTTGCGTTACGATTTACTTTCTCTGTCATTTGATCGACAAACTA